GATGGATTGATGGATGGATGGACAGATGATGGATGGATGGGTGAATGAATGGGCGGACAGATGGATGATGGATGGATGGATGGATGGACAAGAGATGGATGGGTGTATTGATGTTTGGATGAATGGATGGACAGATGAACAAATGGATGGATGGATGGACATACAGATAGATGGACGGATGATGAAGAGACAGATAGATGGATGGATGGAAAAATGGCTGACTGGATGATGGATGAATAGATGGGCACACAGACAGATGGATGGATGAACTGACAGATGGATGGATGAACTGACAGATGGATGGCTGGATGGGGGGCCTTACAATGATGACAACAAATAGCACTTATATATGAACAGACAGATAGATGGATGGATGGATGGATGGATGGCTGGATGGATGAATGGATTGGCCTGACAAACAGACAGGCAGATAGATGGATGGATGAATGGACAGATGTATGAATGGATGAATGGACATACAGATGGATGGGTGGACAGATGGAGGAACGGACAGATGGATGCAGATCTTGTGAATTGGAATAGTTTGAACACAGAACATGCAGGAAGCCACAGGTGAGCCAGACAACTCTCTGCGTGAAACAAACTGCATTACAACGTTTTCATCCTGCTTGTGTTCGAACGTTACCTCTGACTGCCATCAGTGACGACAGGCTCCATCGTAATATTCTCCTCCACATTGAAAAGAGGGCGCAGAGAGCCATACCAAGTGTTGACCAAGGTGAGCTTATAGAAGCCTGCACATTCAACACAACAGTCACATGTTTTTGTTCCTCTCTTTTCAGCTTTTGTCAGACAGTCACAGCAAACAGTACCAAGAAAAATGCACTTCATTAGAAATTCTGCACCGTTCACAACAAGGAGCTGTAAGGAAACTCAACAATGCTCCTCCTCCACATTTTACCGTGGGACCTTGGGAGTGCAAGTGGCTGAGCATTTACTGCTCTGTTGTTGCATTGCCCTTTGCTGTCACTTAACTCAAAATAAACAATTGTAGAATAAGCAAAGGAGAGAGATTGTCTTTTGTAACAGTTTATTTTACCGTTGTTCTGGAGGTCTTGTATCTTCTGATGTGGTACTGAGATGCAGTCTACACTAGTGTGCTTTTCTGTCCTAGGACCACAGAAGCTCATTATTTTTAATCCCTCCTCCAGATTCTGGTGTTGTACCTCAAGTTCTGAAAAATAAAACACAGTAAAAAGTAACATTTTAGGGTATATTTTAAATTTAATATAGAATATAAAAAGTTTTTTTTTTTTTTAATACAGGTAAAATATAATTATACAGTGCACAATCATGTTGACGCAAGTTATCCGTGATGAAAACTGCTAGAAAACAATATAAAAAAAAACCCATTAGGATTACTGTAAAACCCTTTATAACTTTCTCATACCTTTATGTACTAATGACATAAGTTTTTATTTTAGTTATGTTTGCTTCCCTTCTACTCCTCAGCTGATATTTTCTATGGTCAAACTTCACCACTTGCTCTTGCCAAGATCGGACGCTTTTCCCTTCCTCTCCCTCTCCGCTTTGCTCTCTGTCTGTCTGTCTATGAAACTGTTTCTGAGACTCTCTTGCATTTCTTCCGAACCATAATTATGGACTTGATTTGACCAGTTGGTCCCTCAACTCAATTTACAACATTTCTTCGAAGAGAAGACAGGCTTTAGGCAAGCCGATTTGCCCTGTTGGCACGCACGCAGCTGGATATCTCATCGACTGGAAAACTTGATGATGTGTCTATCTCTGCTGCCATTTGTAGATTTTAAGGATGCATATTTAATTGGATTCACGATAAATGGTTCCTGCTTTTTGGATTCGGCTGGTTGCAACAATCAAGAAAGTCGTTGGCAGCAAATTTGGACCCGATCACGCTGCTTGCATTTATGATGGCTTGGTTCGTGCCTTGAGTACCCGGACTCAAACTCTTTGGGCAGAATGGATCAGCTTTCAGGGATTTTACTCAATCACGTCCCATCGGTGTGGCCATGTAATTTGGACATTTCGGAACCGAGTGGACCAACACAGACACAGACTCAAGGTATATGTCATGAAGTTCTCCCTGTCCCCAAAACAACTGCATGTTTATCTGAATTTGGCTCCCTTGGCTGGCCTTGAAGGTCATCTGATCGGAATTCGCTTGGAGAATAAGCGATCTGACGCTCACCACCCCCTCCCTGAGGAATTTCCAACTGATGACCAGATTAAATCAGCTGAATAAACATTGTATCATCATTTCAGGACTCACTTAATATGAAAAATAAATTTTATTAGAATTTGCTATGGGCTTATCCTGATGCATGCTCAATAATCCAGGTATAAAAATCTAAAAAAGTTAAATCTGGTCCTCTGGACATTCAAAAAAACAAAACAAAGCAAAACAACAAAAAATGTAGAAACGTTTCGTCTCTCGTCCGAGAGACTTCTTCAGTCTGAGGTGCTGTTTTCAGCTCAGTCTCTTAAATAGCACCTTCTCAGAGTGGATCAACCAGTTTGAGAAGGTGCTATTTAAGAGACTGAGCTGAAAACAGCACCTCAGACTGAAGAAGTCTCTCGGACGAGAGACGAAACGTTTCTACATTTTTTGTTGTTTTGCTTTGTTTTGTTTTTTTTGAATGTCCAGAGGACCAGATTTAACTTTTTTAGATTGCTATGGGCTTGTTTCAGATGTAATGGACATGGGGATGAAAAACAAAGAAGATGACAAAGCAGAAAAGGAGAGAAGGGTTAAAAGGTAAAGAAGGCGATAGGAATAGAGGAGAGAAACCGAGAAAAACCGAGAAACCACAACAACAAAAAAATATAATGATACTTGTAACATCATTAGAAAGTATTTTATACAGTACATGGTAATACAAGATATATTTGATGGCCACCACAACCCAACTGAGTGTGTATCTTGCAGTGGACTCGGCCTCCGACCAAAACCTGCCTCTGAGGACCTTCATGGGACAGGAACTGTTATTTCATTGACTTGAACCCAGAAATACAAATTAGCTCATCCAGAGACTGTCTAATTGTATCCTGAAGTAATCAATTGAAAGAACACTCTTCTTTTATATTATCATCACTATTTTACAATATCTTGATAAATCAAAAGTGTGGTTAGTTCAAACCATTTCTAAATGTTGAAGTGAACCACTCATTTTAAATCAACTGTGAAACAGTATTAATGATTTTTTAATCCTCATTTAAATTAGAAATCAAGTTAAAATGTCTATTTTACAAAGTAATTATGCATTTTTGATCTTCTGTCTAAATGAGAAGTAGTGATCTCGGTCAAGAGTCAGGAAGCAAGTATAAGAACGAAGTGCTTTGTTTTTAAAACTCTCAGACAGTAAATAAGAAAACTGGCACCTGTAAGTCTGTCATTTCTCTAAAATATTTTCTTGTCTGTAACTAACCGTTCTCAAAACATTCCTGCTGTTTTCTTGACTTGTAATGACCCTCTGACATCACTAGAACCACTCCCTGTTGGTTGCTTCAACCAATCAGGAGGTCCTAAAGTGAAAACTCTTTAAAAGTCAACACTTCCTGGAACTATTCATTTCTTGAGTTCTGGAGTTCTTGAGTTCTGGAGTTCTTGAGTTCTAGAGTTCTTGAGTTCTGGAGTCAGTGCGGCTGTTCTGCAGTTCTCAGTCTTGAGTTCTCAGTCTTGAGTTGAACTCAGTCTTCATGGAGTCTTCACTTCTGAGTGAAAACTCTGAACGGACTCACAGATGCTTGCTGTGAGTCCATCTGGGCATAAATGCCCTACAACTTCGAAGGGAGCTGAGCCTGTTTGTTGAACGGATAAGTGACACGACTTCGGACGATTCTCAGCCATCCTTACCGGAGACGCTGGAAGGTCGCATTGAAATGGACTCCTGTTCCTGAGCGGAGGTATCCCAGCAAAGGTAACGAGTCGTGACGCGAAGTGTACCGGAGGTGAGCTGGTATTGAAAGGAGCGTGCCATCCTGGTCCGAACAGACACTCCCTTTATACATCTTCCTTCAAACCTCTCCATTTAAACTCCTCATATTTCCCATCTTTAAAACTCTTCTACTTCTCCAGTAATTAACCTAGATGTCTTCAGAAATGTCTGTTGTTTTTATTAAGTAAAACGTGCCAAGTTTTATTAATCAGAACCAGATCAACTAATCAAGTGTACAATGTTTTGATGTTAAATTTTGATTCTGTTCAATAAATGACCACATTTATTTTGATGGGTCAAAGAAAATTAACGTCTCATGTCACTGATTAAACCATCTACACACAGTTACTTCTGTCACATGGCTGTAATTAGCTTGAAAAACAGAGAACCCGTTATTTAAATTATATTGTAGTGAAGGTACAGCAAAGTTGACCTTGACACACTACAATCTGATAAACACCTGAATCTAAACACCTGTGTGAGCATGCTTATCACTATAAGGTTTCTCCATAAAAATGTTCAATAATGGATGTGAGGACCCACAGGCCCATCCCCACAGGACATGATGGTAACACAGGGAAGACCGGAACCACAGACACACAGCGGCCCCCAAGCCCAGAACTCCAGGAGTCCCCCAACAGGGACGCCCACACCCCCCCGGGGGGGAGAAGCAAAGGGAAGCCCTGGACGATCCCCAGCCACCACAATGCAGAAACCCCAGGAGGCTGCAGCGACGAGTCCACAGGCCCCGCCGGCAACCCGCCCCTCCAGAGTAGATCCAGCCATGGACACCGAGCCCCGAGTCCCGAGGTCATACCACCCCACAACAGAGGCCCGGCAGAGCCAGGGAACCCAGGCCCCGGCAGAAAGCCACCAGAGCGTGCCCGCACACACCACACTACCCAGCCCCAGATGCCGAGAGCCGCCAATGCAGCAGTGGCGGGGGGGGGGGGGCCCCCCGGGGGGGGGACAACACACCAAATTTGGGGGGGGGGGGGGGCAAAATTGATCCAAGAGAGGGGACCACCCAAAACCCAACCTGAGACATAAACAGGCACACAGAGACAGCCCGACGGACCCTCCGTCAGGCCGTCCATGTGCCCCACCAAACCGACAGCGACCACAAGCCGGCCCCAGGCTGGGGGCCAGAACAGCAAGGAACAACAGCCAAGGAAGGCCGGCCCAGTGCACCACTGCTTACCTACAGCCCCACACCACAGACCCGGAGAGGCCTCGGCACGCCACCCATGCACCCCCCACACACACACACACAGCACCCACCACCATGAATATTACATCAGGCCTACCAGCCAGCACCCCGTCAAAGTGAAGCCACGCCCCCGACCGCCGCCATGCACCACCAATGACCACACATGCAACAACCACTGCCGACCCTCCGCCAGAACCCGGCAGCCACCCCAGCCAAAGAGCTGGCCACTGCAACCAGGAGCCCTGATCAAAAGATCCAAACAACCCAGGGAGAACCAGAGCACTGGCCCCACCAACAAATCGCCCCCCAAGGTCCAACACCCACCCACAGCCCAGACCCCAACCAGGCAGCCTACCCCCCCCCCCAGCCCCCAACCCCAAATGTCAAACGGAGAACGAGGGTTTAAGGAAAACAGGAAGACCCAACTCCTCCCTCCTCCCACTCAAATACGGTGTTGATGCATGTTATTATATAGTGTGTTTAAAATGGGGGGATGATGCAGTGACTGGCACAGACCCACCCCCTCCCCAGAGAGCAGGCAGTGCCCGTTCACCTCCCCAACCCGTGCCCAGAACCTTAAATTTCTACATGCTACATATGAGAGAGGGCAGAGGTCCCGGGGGTGAGAATGATTACACATCCCACCCCCTATATGCCACTGTGTGCCCACTCCAGACCCTATATATGCATGTGTCATGAGAATATATGTGAGTGTCTAGGTTGTTTAATAAAATTGGGGCCCAGGTCTCCATGAACCACAGAGATTGAGGATCCTCCCCCGCAGCTCAGTAGTACACCTGAACCCCAAGGCCCTGCTTGAGTGGTGGTGTGATGGAGTGGGCAGAGGAAGACATCAGGATGGGGAGGAACAACTGAGGTGGCAATGCCCTTCCAGGGGGCCAGCTCCCCCACTGACCCCAATAGGCACCCCCATTCGTCGAGATCCACCAGGGGAAGGAGGCTCCAGTGCATCCATCCAGGAGAAGGAGGCAGCCGCACCACCAGGGACCCAGGCCATGGACCGACACATAGCTCAGAGGACCGACCAGA